AACTTTTTCATGCATTCGTGAGCCTTTGTCGCTACATCGCGAGATCGTCGCTTCTGATAATGAACTTTAGCCACCACCGAGCTGTGTTTTTGATCTTCGGAAATCGTTTCTTGTTCTTCGCTGTTCAATTGTTGGTGACTGGCGGTTTCGACAATCTGTCGGTAGCGTGTCGGGTGTATATATTTGCCCGTAGCATCAAACACCATCTTGCCCATGAGTTCGCCGATCTTACTGTGTTGCCAGCCATTTTTCGTCACGAGGACATAGTCACACGTCGGCCTTAAAAGTGGTCGCACGTGGATAATATATGCATCAAGCACTTGAACACTRGTGTCAGATAAGTAAAGGCTATCAAATCCATATCGTGCGGCCGTCTTGAATTGTTTTTGATCGATAAATCCTCCGTTGCGCTTTGCTGTGTCGACCATGTCCACTGTCAGGTACTGATACGTCATCGGCCGTGATCCCTTGACCTTGATGAACAAGTACACAGCTACAAACTTGGTGGCGAAAGTCAGGTCGGAAGGCGTGGCTTTACTCGGGGACTCCCGGCACACTTTCGTCACTGCCTCGTAACGGGGAAGGTGGTAGGTCACCACGCCCAAGAGCTCATCCATTGTAGCCCAATGTCCCTTAGCYTCCAACGCTTCAATGTCGAGGTCACTGCTCCAATTGAGCCTCATCATTTTTGCAACAGTTTTTCTGGCTCGCTTAAGATACACTTCGCTGGATGTCAGGTTTCTAAGCACCACGTCCGAGCACGWTCCGTGAATTTTTCGAAAATCGATCAAGTCACTTATAGCATCCAAATATCCCAGACGACCAGCATGTCCCAGTCCCCAATCACTCTGCATCGTGTCAACGAATTTGAACAGAAAATTAGGCGAGCTCAAACTAAAATCGACCATGTCCCAACTYAGAATTTCCTCCTCATCTTCGYYTTCGCAGCAAAACTTCAAATACTTGAAACTTCTGCGCAAAATTTGTTGAGATTGTTGTTTGCTTTTGCAGCCCCCACCGCTGCCCATTAGCCACGTTTCAAAGCTTTTGCCTATCACGGTTGTAATGTCAAACGATGGAAAATGTTTCTTGATTGTCTTCTGATCCTTTTTTGAACTTGGAGCTTGGTCAGACCCATCTTGTTTTGAGGCGCCATTTTCGTTTTCACAAGGTTTTTGATCAAAGTAGTAGAACCAAGAATRCTTATTTTTGACGTGTTTTCTGYACCCTCTTTGAGTTGAAAATCCATCGTGATCACAGTGCAAAACTGGACAGTGGTACAAATGATCGCTTTCATCTTCCTCCAAGTGCAATCGTTTGGGTTTGGGAGACGCGCCATCTTTCTTTGACCAGTCAATCACCTTAGACCGTTTACTCATCGTGGAATCTCTTCACACAAATATAATCTGAAATCTGGTCATCGTTATAAGTCCGCTTTGTACTCTCTAGAGAATTCAGTTCAGTTTTAGCCAATACAAAATGGCCATTCTAGGGCTTGCCTGAGCAYGTTTGTCTTTATTAGCTTGCTCAGCAATATTTGCRCGTGCCGATGCTAATGATGTTGTCATGCCCAATCACATCTGGGGCAAGCTTCAATGAAATTGTGACGTGTTCAAACATGTTTGAACAAGTTTGAGCAGAAAATGAGGCGAGCTCAAACATGTTTGAACAACAAGAAGGCATGATTGAACCTGTTGCATCAGCAAAACTCTTGTGCTGATATGCATCGATTAAAACGAACATGTTCCAACATGACCAAACCTGCCTGCGCATGTCAACTAAGCCAGTTCACACGACCTATACGACCCTTGTTGGTAAACACTACCCTACCCTCTAAACAATCTACCTAACTCGTACCTTTAGTGATGAAATAGAGCCATTGAACTCAGAAAAAGGACGCTTGTTATTTAATCGACCGATAGGAACTCTACACATTTCAAACACTATTGTTAAGTTATAAAATAGCCGTTCCCTTTGCACTCAGGAACAAGTTGTTCCTCTTTTGTACAYAAAGAGGATTGTTCCGTTTCATATAATGACCAAAAGCGTTCCTTATTTATAGACAAAAAGGAACGTTCCGTTTCATAGATTCTGAACAAAGCGTTCCTTATTGATAGACAAAAAGGAACGTTCCGTTTCATACATAAGGAACAAAACGTTCCTTATGATGGACAAAAAGGAACTTTTGTTCCTATGCCCATCAATTGGAACGCTGCACATATTATAAGAGGAACAAATTGGTCATATTCTGACCACTATAATAGGAACAACTCTTCCTTTATAATGAACAGGACCGGGAAATGGACCCATTTCAAGTCGGAAATAACTAAAACGGATCGAACTATTCCGATACATGGACATTTGCGTTCCGATTCACGCCAACATAAAAGGAACATGCGTTCCCAATTCCTATAGTCAATTGGTTCCAAATTGATGATAAAGGAACAAAAACAAAAACTCGCGGAACACTCTAAAAACAAACAAATAGATCGCGCTGCACAAAAACTATGTTAACCAAATTTCAAAAACCTCTAATTATATCTTGACCCTAAAATCTATATCCCCAACAATTTCCAAATTCATTGCAATTGTAAAACGTAAGAAATTTAAAGTCATCAAAGTAGGGAAATGTATATGATGATAATACTGTGAATGATGATAACTGCAATAATGATAACTGTACAAATATGAAAAATGTTGACAATCATGAGAACACAAGCTCTGAGAATGTAGTTGGCATACAAGAGGTTGTACCAGATGAATTTGTGGAACCCAATGATCTGAACAAAACACCATGTCAGTTAAAGAGTCGGCTTGGGAAAGCTCTTCAAGTTGTTTTAGGAGACACAAAGGAAGTTCAAAGTCTTGATAAAAGATACACACACTTGAAAGAGCTCACCACAAAGAAGTCGACAGACATAAAGTATTATAGAGACATTTATGAAGAAGAGCTAGCTAATTTACAGACAAAAGTCATAGCACAAGATAAAATGCTGGAAAAAAATCTCAAAGAATGGGAAAAAAACTATGTATTATCACACAATCTCACAGCACCATCATTAGAGGAAATGAAGCATGATGACTTAGCCTCATCTTTATTGGAGAAGATCAA